CAACTTGCATTGCGGAGACTTTCTATGGATCCATTCAAAGCTTGGGATTCTAATTTTTTGTTGTGAGAGCCCTGCATATAAATCTATCACGAAAAAATTTTTTCAAGTTGACGACAAGTCAACAGATCGAAAAGACAGCTGAGCAGGGTCACGCCAGTAACAACCTGGCCAGATTGGGCGATCAGATAAACCAGCGCGCAGCAATGCTCAATTTGTCCAAATCGGGTATATGAATGAAGTTGGCGTCGTGTGAGATAGCACATGCGTGCAGATAAGTTTTGATTTAATCAATTGCTCAATTGGGAATTACTACGTAAATGTTTACTTATTCTCGGTTGAATATAAAGAGCGACTCCCACGACACCGTAGGATCTTATCCCGCCATAATTAAGAAGCGAGATTCGCAAGATGAACAAGCCAAAAACGCGAGGCAATTTCAAGAACAGAAGTAACAGCATGGCCATCCGAAGGATCAGCAGAGACAATCGAAGTTTCAGGCCATCAAGAAGCACAAGACCCAATGACAGACATGGCAACTCGAATGAAAGCGTATTTTGATACAGCAATCCAGGCAGCAACAACATCAATAATGCAAAATATGCAACAGTTCATAAATCAGCAGGCTGAAACTCAGCAAGAATGGAATGCGCAACTTATAGCAACGATTAATCAACGGCCTACCCATGTTGAACAAACGAACCAGAGGGATGATGCACATAATGCTTTGGGTATACATCCCACAAGCCAACAAAATGAGCAAGGAGCAACCAATACACGGAGAGACACGGAGTCAGTACAAGGTAATTATCCCCCAACACCTGTAATCAATGATTTGATATTAAAATCAGGTCCAGATGATCGGTGTGTTGAAACAATAGACAAGTCAGAATTAGTGTCATATAAGATAACTAGTAGAAAGTTTCCATCCTTCGTGTATAAGTTTAGTGAAAATATGTTAGCAGTTCAAGGTTTTAGTAACCATAAGGCAATAGAATCAGAGCGAATCCGTCTATGGTGGGTTATGAACTGGTCAGATGGTCAGAAAAGAATTGAAATGCTTCCCAAAAAGCCTAGTCTTCCTAATAAGCTATGGAAAGCTATAGCTTTTAGTTTATTTATAGATCTACAAAAATTTGCATATAAAAAC